GGTAGAAAGCTCACCGGAAGCACTTTTTCATCAAAAAAAGATGGCGGCGCCAGCGCTTCTGGTGAGCTTTTCCGGGTAGAAAGCTCACCGGAAGCACTTTTTCATCAAAAAAAGATGGCGGTGCCCAGCTGATGCTGGTACCGGGCCGCGGCGCCCAGCTGATGCCGGTACCGGGCCGCGGCGTAAAAAAGGTTGGGGATCACTGATCTACAACATGCAGTGTGAGTCCATATCAGCCAATACAGACAATCCTCAACTTACGACTAAATCAAGGCCTGCCTGTATTTATGACGGTTGCAGTGTCCCAGGAGTCATGTGATCCACCATTTGTGACCTTTTCCAGCCGACTTCCAAGGTGATCCTATGATCTTGGGACACTGCAGCAAAGGTCATAAGTATGAGTCAGCGGCCAAGCATCTGAATTTTGATCACATGATCATGGGGATGCTACAAAGGCCGTAAGTGTAAAAAACGGGTCATACGTCACTTTTTCCAGTGCTGTTGTAACTTTGAACGGTCATTAAATGAACTGTTGTAAGCCGAAGACTACCTGTACATCCCAGCATTCCCGAATTTTGATCACATGGCCATGGGGATGCTACAGTACAATGATTGTAAGTGTGAGAACTGATCATAAATCACTTTTTTTCAGTGTTGTTGTGACTTAAAACAGTCACTAAATGAACGCTTGTAAGTTGAGGACTACCTATATCCATCCCCCCAGAGTTCCAGATAGTGTGAGCCAGTGGTGGGATTCAATTTTTTTTTTACTACCGGTTCTGTGGGTGTGCCTTGGTGGGCGTGGCAGGGGAAGGATACTGTAAAATCTCCAGTCAGAGGTGGGATTTGCTGGTTCTCTGAACTACTCAAAATTTCCGCTACCGGTTCTCCAGAACTGGTCAGAACCGGCTGAATAACCACCTCTGGTGTGATCCTGTTGTTCTTTTGTCAAGCATTAAAAATTGGTTGTTTGTTTCCCTAAGATTTGGGGCTGGAAAATTAAGTGGGTCCTGTGATGACCCAAAGGGGCATGGCACAAAGGCAACTCAGTCAGATAATCCCTTTATTAGCTCCAATTTTGCCCCCAATGTCCTGGTTACCTTCTGGGCTGGAGAAAAACTCTCCCAGGAACAGCCTTTCGCTGCAGAGAATCAAGTCCAAAACATGGTCAACAAAAGCTGTAACTTTAAGTCCAATCAAGGCAAGGTGAGGTAATTAGTCTGGCAGGGCAAGAACGGCAGTAATTCAACCCAGTTGGGAGGATGCCAGGAACGTAGATAACCAAAGTCAACACAAGGTAAACTCACATTTGTTCCCAGCAGACACCGCACTCAGTATGCCTCTCCTTTAAACTCCATCTCCAGGTGTGCCTTGTGAAGGGAATCAGGGCCCTTTCCTCCCCCATAAGCCATGCAACTCACATTGCTCCCTTCTCCATTCCTCCCTGCGTGCCCTAGGATGAAGCGGGGTGGGCCTGGGTCTTCCTCTGAACTCCCTCTCCCTTGTCCTACCTCTTCCCTGCTCTGCCCAGCCGGACTTTGCCCTTCCCCAGTTTCCTCCAAAGTCAACAGAGCCACATTGTTCGTCTTCCTCCTCGGATTCAGATTCTGAAGGGGAAATGACAGGTCCCGTTGGTTGATTGGTGGGTTTAGATTGATGGGTTTGGATCCAGCCTTCAGACTAGAACATTGAAATGGACTGTATTTAGTTGTTCTGAACTTTTATTTTGTATTTTGTCCCTGTTTGGCTTTAGCCCTTCATGCGCTAACAGGATTCTCCCCAAGTGAGAGAGGGCAGCTACATTTAAATATTTATATTTAAATAAATGAACCCGTGGTCTTTTGTTCACTTGTGTCTCAGCCGTACCCAATTAATGCATAAATCATTTTCAAAGCTTCAAAGGCAAATGGGAATACAGAAAATATAATTGCTTAAAGGGAGGTGCATTTTCTATTCCATAAAACACAAACACAAATACAATCTAACAGAGAACAAAAACATCATAGAAACAAGTTGCAGATCTCTAACATTACTTGAGTAAACAAGTTCCTCATTTTACAAAGAGCCAATACAAATCTGACAGCGAAAAACAAACAAATCACGTCACCCTGTTTCATGCTTATCTAAATAAACATAATTTAAAAGAATATTACCGTTATTTACCTTACACTTAAGCACAGAACTGAAAAAAAGAAATAGCAGTTTAATTTCTCTATGCAACAATGTTAAGAAGACACATTAAAAACCAAGCTAGCTGTTACCCAGCCTAAAGGAATAGGGAAACCCCAAAGAAATAACTGTACACAGCAAAAAAAGAATATTGTAGAAAAATTAGACTATACAAAGCATACTGATAATATATTACGGTTTTATTGTGGGAATTACGCATTTTTGTTCCCAGTGAAAATATACAGTAATGTTGATAAAGATAGATAAATGTTGATTAACTAGAATATGTTGTATGATTTCTATGCTATGCTTAATTGTACAACTGAAGTATCAAAGAAGTGATTTTAATTAATAAATCAAGCAAATTTAAATAGTACAGCACTGATTAAATACCAGAGAAGCTTGTCATCAGCACCACAGTCCCCAATCAGAAGATAATAATAATAGTAATAGCATCAATGCTAACAGAAACAACCAATTATTAATATTCATCTACACCTACACAGATAACAGATTTACAGATTAACAGAGATGGAAGGGACTTTGTAGGTCATCTAGTCCAACCCCCTGTCCAAGTAGGAGACCCTACACCATTTCTGACAGATGGCAGTCCAGTCTCTTCTTGAAAGCCTCCAGTGATGAAGCTCCCACAACTTCCAAAGGCAAATTCTGTTCCATTTGGTTGATTGTTCTCACTGTCAGAAAATTTCTCCTTATTTCCAGGTTGAATATCTCCTTGTTCAGTTTCCATCCATTATTCATTGCCTCGCCTTCGGGTGCCTTGGAAAATAGCTTGATCCCTTCCTCTCTGTGGCAGCCCCTCAAATATTGGAAGACTGCTATCATGTCTCCCCTGGTCCTTCTCTTCACTAGACTAGCCAGGCCCAGTTCCTGCAACCTTTCTTCATATGTCCCCTAATCATCCTGGTTGCTCTTCTCTGTACTTTTTCTAGAGCTTCAACATCTTTTTATAATGTGGTGAACAAAACTGGATGCAGAATTCTAGGTGTGGTCTTACTAAGGCTTTATAGAGTGGTATTAGGATCTCCCTTGATCTTGATTGTATCCCTCTGTTAATGCAACTTAGGATTGCATTAGCTTTTTTGGCTGCCGCCGCACACTGCTGGCTTATACTCTTTGACCATGACAAAATTCTCTTAATAACGTGTTGCTTATGAACAGAAACTTTGGGCACAGTTCTGGTTGTAAGTAGAGGACTACCATCATCTATAATGGGAAAAGTCACAATACTCTTTCAAATTTTTGACTGGCAATCTTTTTTTTTTTTAAAAAAAAACACCCCTCTAATTCCAATTTATATTCATTTTAAAACTCTCAACCTTTCTCAAACACGTCTTCTCTATAGTGAGAATTTATTCTAATATATCATTAAAACAGGAGGGTTTTTTCTTTCAGATTATTTATTCATTATTACTGGTAATTTCCAGTTGCTCAAACACTGTTAAGAAACAAAACTTTTAAACGTAAGATAATTTTCGAAATTCAATTTTGATAATAGATGATAGAAAAGGATGAAGTCTCCTTTGCGATTATAGAGTAAGAAAGGAGATAATTGGCAGCAAAGGAAGTCAGAAGCTTCTTCTATTTATTTTATTCTTTCTTTCTGTGTTTTTCTCTTTCTCCTTTTGTACTATTACTTTAATTTTATTTTGCTGTATTTTTATCCCGCCTTTGTTATTTCTGCAAATCTCTCAAGGCAGCACGCATATCCCTCACACCTTCCTTCTCTTATTTTATTTTTTTCTCTCACAACAACGTGGGTTGGGTTGAGGGAAGGATTGGCCCATAGCCACCCAACCTGTTTTTGTGCATAAGGAGGGACTAGAACTCACCACCTCCTGGTGATTGGCCCATAGCCACCAACCGGCTGTCTTGCATAAGCCAAGACTAGAACTCACAGTCACCAAGGGATTGGTTCAAAGTCACCCAGTCAGTTTCCATGGCAAGGATGAAACTAGAATTCACACTTTCCTTTCTTTTCTTTCCTTTTTTTTCTTCTTTTTTTCTTTCTCCTGCTTTTTGCTCTTTATTAATTTGCTTTTGTTTTTATGCTTTTTGTAAAAAAAAAAAAATTAAAATAATTAATAATCAGGAATTTATCTTTCTATATATATGATAACGAAATAGCATTCATGCATCGTCACAAAATCTCCAGAATCGTAAAACTTGAAATTTGCCACATATGTTCCTCTTGGCTTCTAGGTGCTCACTAAGAAAGGATTTTTCGAAATGACCATCATCGGAGCGTTAGTATTTCCTATATTATTATTAACATGCTCTGATGCTAAGGAGTTCTACTCCCCCTCCCCACCTGAAAAGAAATATGTTGCAAAACACAAGCAGAGGAGAGGAGTTTCAGTTTCAGAGCACCAAGCAGCTTTAGTACAGAACAGTTGAGCTAAGCCACTCCCAGGCTCCTTGCTGTCTCCTTCTTGCTCACACAGAAAATACTGCTTCAGTTTCCAAACAGCCCTCAACTCTCTCACACACTGACAGGACGTTAGCCGGATGAATACCGATGGATGCTGGGTAGGCAGAGGCAAGATTTTTTCCCTTCATTTTCCTCCCCAAAAACTAAGGCCAACCACATAGTTTCGTAGTGAAGCATGGGTATCGAGCTAGTAAGGAATAATTTAAAAATAATAATCATCATCATTTTGAAAATACTCCAGAAGGCCACTCCGTTCTGTTGCCCTACCACTCTGGAGCATCAGGGATGAACGGCATGAGATATTCGGAGTGACGGACCCCAAAAGAGTAGGAAGGCGCCCCTGTCCTGTGAATGGTCACTTTTTCTGGGCTGTGGGCTCCTGGCCCAGGAGTCTGGAAGGCCCTCGTGGGTTTCTGGAGCCTCTTCAACATGGAGAAAGCTGGGGGGCGGCCGAAGCAGACGGCGGGTGCGTGGGGCTTGTAGCTGGTGGGGCCAGGCATTTGGCGAGGGTCCTTAGAAGCGCTGCCTTTGGCGTTCTTGCCGGAGAGAACATGGGTGGCCTTGGAGGGCCTGTTGGGGATCCGTGCTCTGAGCAGGGAGGGGAGGATGTAGCTGTTGGAAGCCGGCACGGGGTCCACGGGACGGGATTTGGTGCGGGCAGCTATGGAGAAGGAGGGCGCCCTCTGCTGAAGGCTGGGTCCCAGCTTCTCTGGACTGTATGTACCTGGTCCGGGGCTTTGAGGCAGACCTGGGGAGGTAAAGGGTGAGGTGAATGTGGAATTTGGAGACCTTTTTTTTTTTTGGTGAGAAGAGGAGAGAGAGAGTTGGCCTCAGGAGTCTGGGGTAAAGCGATGAACCCGTAGAACAGCGTCCCTCAGCCTTGGGGAGTTTAGACTGTGTGGACTTCAACTATTCCTGTTTGCCTGCCTCTCTCTCTCTCTCCCATCCTGTCTGCTTCCTTCCTTCTTTCCTCCCTTCCTCCATATTTCCCTTCCTCCTTTTTACTTTCCTCCTTTCCTCCTGCTGTCCCTTCCTCCTTTCTTTCTTCCTCTCTCTCTCCCTCCCTCCTTCCCTCTCCCTCCTTCCCTCTCCTTTTTCCTCCCTCCTTTCTTTCCTCCCTCTCTCCTTCCATTCTTCCTCCCTCCCTCCCTCTTTCTTCCTCCCTCCTTCCTCTCTCTC